CCTCTGACTTCTCACAAAGAGCAGCACCCAGGACTCCCACACTGGGAGATCATGGTGACACTGGGCAGATCTGTTCCCATGACCCCACTGACAGGAGGGGTAACCTGGGGCCAGCTCATGGCAGGCAAGTTCCTCCTCCCCACAACGTCAAGGTTAGCCCCAGGATATTTAGAGTCAACAGTGGAAAGAGAGACACCCTTGAGAAACAGTGCCAGCCCCTGCCCTGCCACTACCTGGAACTACAGAATCAAGTAGGGAGGGGACTTCTTTCTCAGCACAGGCCCTGCTTTTCCAGAAGATTCAGCTGATGGAAACCAACCTCAGGCTTCCCCTTCCCTCTCTGTGGGGCTTGCCCTGGATACTGGGTCCCAGAACTTGCATCTGGTCTGAAGGGTTGTAGCTCTATCTAGTGGTCTATGCAAGAACTGCACCCCACTCCTTTTCACACCTTCAGCAGCTGGTAGAGGACAGGGAGGTAAAAGGGACGCAAGGTCAGCCTTTGAGCCCTGGAAATGGCCCTTTACCTTCCCTGCAGCCTCTATACAATCCAGGGGCCTGCTACCAGGGTTCAGATACAGGCCTCGGGAGCTCACTGCCAGGACTGGGCAAGGCAGAGTCTGGCCCCAGTAAGGTACACTTGGCCCTGACCATCAAGCCCTCCAGCCATGCTGTCCTCCTGGGCACTGCCAACCATCTAAACAGGGACAGAAAATCAGCATTAATCCAGGTACAGTAGCATAAACCTGTGTAATCCAAGACACTAGAGAATTGTAAATTTAAGTCTAGCCTGGGCAACTTAACAACTTAGCAAAACCATATCTCAAAATAAAATAAAAGCTGGGTATATAGCTCAGTGCAAAGGCCCTGAGTTTAATTACCAGTACTGACTGAAAAAAGAATAGGGGACGAGAAAGAAAGGAAACACAAAAGGGGGGGAGAAGAGGGGAGAGGAAGGGAGGGGGAGGAGAGCAGAGGACAGGAGAGGAGAGGAGAGGAGGAGAGAGAGAGATGGAGAGAGAGATGGAGAGGAGAGGAGAGTGGAAATAAATGGGGTCTGGGTCTACTGTATGGGGGATCATGGGGTAGGGGAAGGGGTCCTCTGGATCCAAGCAACGGCAGACACATCACTTCACCCACAGTGGCCCAAGTGGACAGGGGCCATGGCGGCCTCGGCATGCTGCTTCTCCTTGGAGCCCTCATATCCTGGGCTTTGGTAATTTGTTGGACCATGTTGTCTGTGAGAGGATTTCCCTTGACATTCTTATTATCTCTCTGATTCTTAAATAAAAAACGTGAGCAGCAGGTATCCAGAGCTTCACCTGGGAGAGAGACAAATGGTCTGCCAGCACCTGTGTCCTGGAGCCACGCAGCCACGCTGGGGATAGAGCAGCCATGGGCCGTGCCTTCCTTTCCCTGAGCTTCAGCCTCTGAAGGGGAATCCCTAGGATGACTTCACAGGCAGAGACCTACCCTGCATCCTCTGGGCCACACTGCTATGACAAGAATCAGCCCCCACCCTGCTCTGCTCTCTGCAGGCTACAGAAAGGAGGGGGAGTCTCCCAGCACTCACCAGCCTCTGTCCACTTGCTGGGAGCGGAGGACCGGGAGCCTTGCCTCTGGCCCTGGGATGCAGTGGTCTCTACAGGCTGTCCTATCCCTCATCTAACCCCAGTGGACTCATGTGAGTCTAGGGACACCTAAGAGGTCCATGACATCTTCAGAGTCCCATGGACCTTGGTTCAGGATATTTCTCCAGGTTCTGCTGACACCTTGAGCCTCTATGCACAGAAGCTCTGAGGGTTTGAACAGAAGAGGCACCCAGTGGCTCTTCTTAAAAAAGGCTGGGCATGGTGGTGCATGCCTGTAATCTCAGCGCTTAGAAGGCTAAAAACAGGAGGATCACTATGAGTCTGATCTGTATAGTGAGATCCTGTAGACCCTATACTACATACATTTTTAAAAAAATAAAAAGAGGTAGAGACACTGAGCTTCAAAGCCACAGCAAGGAGAGCAAGAGTGCTCCAATCCATGCCCAGAGCTTGGCAGATAGTGCTGAGTCCACATCAGTGGTAAATCCCAGCCTCTCCTCTTCTTCCTCCTGAGCATCCCCTGGACACAAGCCAAGCAGAGGCAAGGGAGATGAGGGTAGCCCCTCCTCACCACTCCAGGCTTCCCAAGGCCATTTGGGTGTCATGGCAACATGGGCAGAAGCAACTACCATAGCAACTGGTGTCCAGGGAGGTGTGCTGCCTAGCAACGGGGACCACAGCTCTCCCCCACCACATTCTGGACAGTCACACTTTCCACCAGTGTGGCCAGCATTTCCAGCATCTGGCCAGGGCTTTTCTGCTAGGTAGAAATCCTAGAACTCCCTGCCCACTCCCACGCAGGACACCCACTGCAGGGCAGGGCCCAGTTTGTGTATCTGACCCCATATGTGAGAAGCCCAGCAGGGCTACAGGTCCAGGGCTTCTCTCTCTCTCTCTCTCTCTCTCTCTCTCTCTCTCTCTCTCTCTC